CATACTAAGCTGTCTCCGAAATGCTGATGGATTTTGTATGAGGGGATATTATTTCATGTCATAAATGAACTCGATGGGGTTGACGTTCCCTGACGAGGGGCGACCGCAATTAGAAAATTTAGCTTAGTTTTTATGTAAATGAATTTTCTATAACTTTTTGGAAGTTAGTACGACTTCAGAGTTTGAAGCCGATCCCTCCCAAATGCAGTACGCAGTACTAACCACTCGGGTACCGTGACCGAATTCCTTTTGGGGGAACCAATATTAATCTTATCTCCGTGAACTGGACCGAGGACTGGCCTATTCAAAAAGTCGTACTATTCCTTTCTTCGGATAGTAGACAAATGTCATTGGTAAGACTAAAAATGTTATGTTAAATAAATGTTGAATGAAGTTGATAAAAAATTGTATATCCATGAATAAGTTTTCGTGCATTCAATCAGTATTCGCTGCAGTTAGTTTTCTAGAATTTTGGATGTTGGTCCGGCGAGGGCTCAAACCTATGACTCTCCACATAGTAGTACTCAATATACATACACATATGTACATATAATTATTATATATTAATATTACTTAATTAGTATTATGTTGAGTAAGTTACAAAAATATATTTCATCTTTCCACATTGCGCCTTCTACAATTTCATTTACTTCATGCCATTCATAGCTTGACAGCCTTTTTATGTACATGTTGCACTCAACAAGAATTTAGTAACCTGTTGCGAAATATTACAATTAGTTCTTTACTCAATGCACTTGGCCTACTATACATATGTACATATATATGTATGTATGTTATGTTCGTAATATGAGAGGTACTCAAAGCATTGTTGCTCTTTAGCTTCATTCATTACTCATCAAAATAAATCAACAGAACTGAAGCTGAAACTAAACACGAGAAGAGTAGAGCTTGGAGGCAAGCCGGCAATAGATACATACAAAAGTATACTACAGCAATTTAGTCACATAAGCACATAGAGTACAAACTTCTCTGCATACATGGAATTGTTTTCCCGCTGGTATGTTAAGTTAGCTGCAGCACATGAGCACCATATATCACACGCTGACGATCAACTTTTTGGTTTTGTTCGCTTTTTTACACTTATTTTTATGCTCTTATCGCACAGATAGTAGGTTTGAGTGTGTGCGTTCATGTGTAATGTACATATATACATATATGCCGATATGTCGCCTCACGCATAAGTTAAAAAAAAAAATAAAAAAATATATACTGAGCACCACGAAAAATTAGGTTTACAGTAGCGGATCAAGCGTCGCATAGTGGGGTAAATGGTGCTCCAAATGGAGATCAATTCCCACAAGCCTTCTAGTTAAGGAAAAGTTATTTTTTTACTTAATTAATCTTAAAAAATAATGCAATTGGAGTTATTTGAATGAATTTTTTTTTAAATCATAAAAAAAAAACAAAATTATGGTGAACATCGATTGTTTTTAATTAAGATTCAAGTTTTATTTAAAATATATTTATTGCTTCTTCATTACCATAATCACATTCATGATCATAATTATCTTCGCTTGAATTGTCATCATCGTCTTCATCATCATCAACTTCATTATTATTGCCACTCTGCATTACGATCATCTCTGAGGCTTCTACCGGTGAATCCTTCTCTTATTTTGCACTAATTTTTCTCTGGTAAATATAACAGAGACTAAACAGAAGTGAAAAAAAGTCTGTTAAATATGTCTTCATTTGCTTTTTTTCTGCTGCATTTACGAGAAAAATGTTTGCTAACAGAGCGTAAAATATTATCTCTGGTTAATTGATGAAATATATGTGAAGTGTTCGAGGTATGTTATGCCAACAAAATATTTTCTTGTATTTAAAGTGTAGTCACGAAACTTTTGTAGCTCAATATCGTTCCCTCTAGAAACAACAACGAGTACTGTATGTATCCTTTTAATCAAATTTATATCAACTTTAGTAATTGCTGCTGACATCTCAGGATTTTGAAAGAATGCCTGGAAGTATTGCCATCATTAGAATTCCCAAAGCTAGGCTTCTGTTGATCAACCAATCGGATAAAACTTCATCTTTAAATGTTTTTTGAATGCGCAACTGTTCGAGCTTGCCACTTTTTTATGCACAATTTATACGATAAGTGGAGCAGACATTCAAAGAACCTAATCCACCCGTTATGTATCGAAAGACCAAATAGAAAATTTTCGGTTTTTACATCCTTCTTCATTATGTCATCAATTCTATTGGAATATTTCGAGCTAGATGTCTTTCTGTTAATACATTGCATTCTATTCTATCAACCATATATAAATTTAAACCGCCTTTAATTTCCAAATATTTATTTTCATAAGGTACGAACTCTTTCGTTTATTTTGCAATTATTGTATTTATACTTATCCTGCATTAAGAAATTCGTATACTGGGAAAGTGCGCAATTTTTCCAAAAAAAAAACTATAATAGCTAGATTCTGCCAGTTAAAAAAAATAAATAACTTCGAAGAATAAAAAAAATCTCTAATTTCCCTGTGTGCAGAGAGAAACTAGTAAACTTGCTATTTTCAGAGATTATTGCAATAAAACTGCACATTTTTTGCAAAATATATGCTCAGATTGTGATGGAGATTTTATCTACTCTCTTTCGGTACCAAATATTTACTTGTACCTTTGAATTTGATTTTTGAATTAATCTCCATAATCGACACATTTTACCCCATTGTGCGTATGCACAAATGAAAATGCTCAGCATTGTGTGCTGCCATTTTGAAGGCCAGAGTTCGATTCCTGGTTCTATCAACATCTTGAAGAGGGGCGGGCAAGGAACGCTCGAGTGCATTTCTGGCATGAAATAAAAAAGATTCTAATCAAAATTCATCGGCATTTCGAAGGCGGCTTAGTATAAACAATAGGCCTTATATTCGTTGGAAAAACATCAAAACGCATACCACAAATTGGGGAAAAGTTCGATCGAAAATCGTTTCAGCGATTGCAAATCGCAAATTATGAAAAACAAATCGAGTTTCAATTTCGAAGAGACTTTTTGTTTAATGAGAAGTAGCTGTTGTAGAAAAATGTTTTAAAGCTTTTCGATCCTACCACAAGTAGAGTATCGATATAGACCTATGTGACGTATTACTCATGGGTTTCACTGTTAGTTACATATATGATTAAAGATATAAATGATTAAAACACACTTGAGTAGCAAATTTGTTAAATTTCCTTGCCAATACTTAGCACCTTTCTGTTCGTATTTTTTATACCTTTTATGTACACAAAAAGGTATATTTATTTTTGTCCAAAGTAAGTCAGTACCAGAAAGAAAGGAGTTAGACCCATCAATATTTATATCGATAAGATCAGAATGACGAATGAATGAATGATCAGCAGAGTCTTTCTGTTACTCTGTCTGTATGTTTGTGTATCTGAAAGTTTGTACGTTAGTTTTTGAGTTACAATGACAGCTAATTTTGAAAAAGTTGTTTCGAGGAGAACGTTTAAGAAAAAACTTTCACTTAACCTTACGTAACTGGCCTGACGCAATTTAGGATCACTCTAAAACTATTACGGTTACGCATCTGGGGTGGAAGTAAGTTTTTTTCGAAGCTATACTCCATCGAAAAATGTCAAAACTAAATCCAATTTTTGAAAGTGTCACACTCCTTGAGCCCTTAATGTGCAGTTGCCTCTTTTGTAATGAATCGGTCATTTGTCGGATTAAGTATCTAAAAACATTGAACCAAACAATCATATATGTGGGAGGTATAAAGCAATGCACATAAGTACAGAAAATTAGCTGATTCAGTGGCTATGTGAATAGCATTTCCTGCAAATAACGTGATTACTCTATGAACGCGTTAAATACATATATGTAAATATATTCAACGACGATACTGAAGTGCCTATGTACATTCTAAAAGGTGATTTTTGAAGACCTATTGGAAAGTTTATGTAAAAAAAACATAAAATTGAGAAAAATGCATGAAATCTTTATTTAAATCGATAGTACGGTCCATATAATTTAATGTTTGGAGATTATTTCATGAAAATGCTGACCGTGACTGCGCGTCAAATAGTCCATTCGCTTAGTCCAATTTTGCCAACTCTTTCCATCATCGGCCGAAAGGTATTTCACGAATAAATGCTTCAATGTTGTCCTCCAATGCGTCTATTGTCTGTATAGGCAATAGATTTAATATAATCACACAAAAAATAATCTAAAGGCGTTAAACCGCACGATCTAGGCGTCCAATTAACCGGTTCCGAACGTGAAATAAAGTTTCCACCGAAGTCGCCTCTCAACAAATCCATTGTTACGCGTGCTGTATGGCATGTGGCACAGTCTTGTTGAAACCACATTGGACAAAAAAAGTTTTATATCATCTCACGGCAGTGCTGACCATTCACAGTTACGTTAGAGTTCGCATCATCTTTGAAGAAGTCCAATGATGCCACCAGCCCAACACGACTTTGGAAGGAAAAATTGTCTTATTTGATAAAGGAATTCGTCAAATTTAAGTTGCCATAAAAAAGTTTTCACATGTCATGGACTTTTAAATGTAAAAAACTGCTTTAAACCGGTCGTAAATCAGCAGTAAAATGGCGTGTATTTTTTACTTTATGTCCATAATTTTCCCTCAACGTTTTTTACAAAAATTTCATTGATAAAAATTCAACATTAAAGGCTCTCACTCAAATTTTGAGGTTTGTTTTACGTTACGGTAATTTCGGTCGACTATATACATACATACCTGGGCCCTTTTGACCCATTTAATTGAATCCCACACCGTCTTTATTATACTAACCCGATCACTAGGCCGTTCATCAAAGCTACAAACCGCCTCTTGCCTTCACCTTGTCAACTTGCGCGCTCTGAAGGTACACACTTACATACATACATACCTACATGTATATGTAGTTATGAACTATTTCCTCTCTCTCTACCGTATTTACCAGTGCTGGCCCATACAAGCAACAAGCAACCGGTCGCTCGTACTACAATTGCTTATGGTTTGTTCATTGAGAATTTCATTTCAGTAGTTGGTCGCATCTTCGAGATACTCGTTCGTTCGATTCTACGGTATATATAGTAAAAGTACACGCGGCAAAATAAAAAAATTGCATTGTTTTTGCTTTTTTATTTAGCACTGTAATTTCTAACCTGTGTTTGTTTGTACGTTTGTTCGCGCGGCGAAAAGTGGACGCGTGACACGCGAATGCCCCCTAACTAGACAAATAACATACATATCCATACGAGCAAATACAAATACATACATACATACAAACCTGTATCTACACGCCTATTAAATAGGCTGATAAAGTAGTTTTGCTCTGCATAAAAAGCAATAAAATAAAATTTGTAAAAACAAAAACAAAAAAATCAATTGCAATCAATTTGATTTTTTGCTTTACTCTTTGGGTTTTAACTTTAAATTTGTGGTGAAAAGTGTGTCTGCAGAACAACTCGAAAATGAGGGAAATCGTTCATTTGCAAGCTGGTCAATGCGGCAATCAAATTGGCTCAAAGGTGCGTGGCGCGAGATTTTTTTACATTAAAAAAAATTAAAATTATTTTTAATTATTTTAAATCAAAACTACCAAATTTATTAGTACTGTTATATGAATTTGAAATTCTGCTATTTAGCTTAAGGAAATTTAATTTTTATATATGTATATATGTAGTAACATGCCAAATTATTACAAACTATTCCTAATTAAAAAAAAAACTTTTATTTTGCAAAATTCACGTACGTACTTATTTCATGAGCATTTTTATTAATATACTCTTACATACATACACACATATGTATGTATATGTATATGTACTCGTGGCTTTGCAAATGCTTAGCAAGTCATTTCACCACACAAAATATGACGTCGCTTTCTTTTAACTTATCGTAAAATACATTTTTTTCCTCGAAATATTTCTCTCTAATGCCTTATAATTAGCTCATTTGAAATGTTCCGCTACTATTTATAAACAAACGAAAAACCAAAAATTTATGAGAAATTCTTTACAATTTGCTTTCGCTCACAATTCTTGCTTTTAAAGTAATGGACATACATTTGTATGCACATGGGGTCGACCACCCGTTTGCGGTACATTGAAAGCGATTTTCCTAACCTCAAAAATTAATTATAAAATTACGAAAAGCAGCTGTAACAGAAAAAAGTGGAAAGAAAAACAACAATAATAATTGAGATTTTTTACAACCAAACCAAGGTGTTTCTCTTACACTCTCCTATGGTTTTAATACTCAGCTGAGTACGTTGTAAATAAAAACCGGTGGTAAAATGGAAATGGAAATGTGAAAAATATGAGAGAAATGTGCATTTGTATGACTTGATTTGCTTTCCTCTATTTTCACCCATTCGTCACGTCACTGTAGTTTGTTGTAGTGGAAATGCCTAAATCAGCTGATTGATGTTGTATATATATAATACATATACATACAAAAGTGGCACAAAGAACTATGTATTCCCAGTAAACGCAACGAATACAAAAAGAACTCATTCGCTCTGAGAGAACTATCTGGAAGATATTTCCTGGCGTTATTTGAGTTATAAAGGTAATACCGTAAATTCTGTGGCGCGCTAGTTTTACGGCGAATTTAATAATACTCGATCAGTGTAATGAATATCTCGACAACATTATTATTTAGTTTTTTTTTCAATAAACAAAAGATTATGAATCATTTTTCAATGTGCATATTTTATAAACGCGTCTGGAATTTTTTTTTTAGTTTTCTCTGAACTAAGCAGGTTAAAAACAAAAATATTTCCAACCAAAGAAATAATAATAGAATAGAAATTGTTTTTCTTATGATATTCCCTTTAAATTATAATTAGCAAGCCATGACGTTATATATGAAACTCTGCATCTTACAAATGACCGACACGCGAATTTTTGCAAACTTCGATCCGTCACTTTTTGGCACGTATTGGGCGGTACCTCAATCTTATGTAGACAAATGTTGGTCTTCAAGTGCTCAATATTGTCAAATCACCTTATCTCGGTGGCCTGCTAACATCGCCATGATAAGAATTTCTCACGCAACAAAGCCAAATTCCCTCGTGTTGTATGGCACCTGGCACCATCTCGTCAAAGTCATATATTGCGCAAGTCGTATTCAAATTTGGTATATAGATATTCTTTTCCATAGATTGGCAGGACACTACTTTCCCTCCGAGAAGTGGATTAAGGACTGGCCTATTCGAAAAAATCGTATCTATGGTTGGAATCAGTACTTAAATATATAGACCACAAGCCAGATTTGCTGATTTGATTCCATAAGTCGATAAATTGCCATATAAGTTGGCTCAAGCTGGATCTTTATTTAAAAACGTGCGCGTGCGTAAAGACAGAGTAACTGAACTTAGGTGTAAAATTGTTGAGAAAAATGTTGAGTTTTTCCTGAATTCGAAATGAAGAATTGACCGATCGGGCTATATTTTCTAACAATTTGTCGTAATTAAAATGAGGCTATTTTTACAAAAGAAAAATGAACTTTTTTCCGGGAAGTCAACCAGGAACCGATTTCTACGAGAAAGTTAAATTTATGATTCGATTAACAAGCCGAAAATGGTTTCTATGTAGCTTATTTAGGGCTCAATCTGCTTGAAGTTCTATTCCGTTCGAGCAGTGATCTGACACCGATCCATTCGGTAACATCGTATTAATTATCGGCTTCGCTTGAACTATTCTTTCCTGAAAATATTTATTTAATTTTAAGGAAAGGTTGTTTTCTTGATTCAAAGGTTCTATTATACGACAAAAGGTTGATATGGAAGTGAGAGAGATGCGCCCGTGAATTTTGCAAGGTCAGTTTACGCTGTTTGTCCGCGTGTTAGAAAAACGTCTTTGTTATTTGTTCGTTTGCCGAAAAACTGATTAAACACAACCATATCGTTTGTTCTGATTTCAAATCATATAGAATTAATCGAGTCAGTGACTGAAAAATAAAGGAACAGACAAGATCACGGGTCGTAGAGACTTGAAACTTGAAAAGTGTATGTCAGTGACGTAGGCAGTCGATAAAAAAGTGTTTTAAAAAAATTTACCACTAAACGGCTGAAAATGAGGAGCAAAGTTAAATAAAAGTTGATAAAATTTTGTATTCAACTGGGATTAATCTATTCGAAAACTATCGCATTTATTAGTCAATTTGCTTGATTTTTATTATATAGATAGCATTGGTGCTTAAATAAATATGTGGAAAACTAACATATATAAGGCAAAAGACCAATTAAAAATCCTATTTCCATTTTTATATTCCTCGCGGCTCAAGCAAAAAATTAAGATTACTCACACTTACGCAGAATTCGAATTCGACAAAAACAAAAAACAATTTAAATTGCCTAAAACGCAATACAAGTTCTCGCCATGTTTTGGTTTGTTGGGCATAAATTGTAGCTGTTGCTTTCTAATGGCACGTAGTAAATGATTTGCTGGTCATGCGGTCGCCGTTACAGTTGCTGTCACTTTGCTGCTTTTTTGTTGCTTCTACCGTTTTACACTTGCTACATAATGCAATTCTTTCTTTAGCATTACTCAATTCACTTCTCAATGCAATGAATTTCTATGCTCTATAATTGTTTTCTTTCTTTCTTTACTATGCACCAAGTCATTATACATAATTGAGTTTTTCTTCGATTTAATTTCTACCTCATCATAATTACTCATTTAAGCGCATTACCCGTAATTTAAGTAATGTCTTAAGATTTCATATTTTCCTTAATACTTTTGATGTTTATTACTTACGGATCCAGTTTGACCTCGTTCGTATTTTTTTTTTTAATAATTTTTCATTGGATACTTAAAAGGCAAATTTTCAAATTGTTCCTTAAATGTGTTATCCGTATACACATATATTAGAAACATACTATATCGGCCGCGGTAGTCGAGTGGTTAGCATTGTGTACTGACATACGGAAGGCTCGGGTTCAAGTCCCGGTGCTACCAACATTCTAAAGTTATTGAAAATGAATTAAAATAAAAAGTTTAGTTAACTTGTCTAATTGCGATCGCCTCTCGGCAGGGAACGTCCACTCCTCCCAGTGTATATCTGACATGAAATAAAGTCTCCTCGTAAGAAAACCATCAGCCATTCGGAGGCGGCTTAGTATAAACTGTAGATATCTCCGTTTCATATCAAGACACAAAACCATAACTAGCGATTACAAAGCGCCAATTATATATATATATATATAGTATTTCTATTGAGTATCTACTATTCTTTTCTCTAAATCGCTTGGAAACGCCCCAATATTTGTTAATTTATATAAAAAAATGATAATCAATATACGCATAAAACTATGCCTGTGTGCGTTAGATAATGCTATGAATAATATTATTAATTACTAAGTCGCTTAAATTATTTTACTTACCAGTTTCTACTTTAGTAGTAAAAAAATATATACATTTTTTTGCATATTGATAATTTTAAAATGATTATACATATTAATGTACTTTGATATGACAACAAAATAATTATCGTACGTTGATAAATGTTGATAGTATTCAATTATATATATATATATATATATATATGTACATATGAGTATATAGAACTTTTTATAACCACTTTGCTGTGAAAAATATCAATTGTTAACTAGAAACCAACTAGTTTGCATTTTTACTAGTTCATCTTCCATCTATTTTATTTTTATTTTATTTATTTATTTGTTTCAAATGTAAATATAAACAATTATATTACAAGATTATGACAACTAGCAACGTGCGATATTTTTAACACGAAGATCTCCTAAGAACTGTCAATTGTCCGACTATGCTTTAGCTTTATACTAGTTGTATACCAGTTCATTTAGGTATGTGGAAAAAAAAAGACTTTGCCTAATAATAGAAAGCTGGTTGGTTAGTAATGTGAAAGTTGTTAGACATTATATAAATATATATATAAATATATAATTGGCGCTTTGTAGCCGCTGAAGCGATTTTTGGCGGGCCCCTCTTTTATTTCATGTTAGAAATAACTCGGAGTTCTTCCCTGCCGAAAGGCAACCGCAATTAGAAAATTTAGCTTAAGTTTTTATTTAAATTAATTTTCTTATTACATGTTAGTACGACACTAGGATTTGACTAATCTCGGCTACTGTGGGCGCGGCGTATTACAGTGCTATTTGAAACTTGATTAGGTAACTATTTAAGTTTTGAAACATACATGTGCATACATATTAAGGTTGTCCATAAGAGTTTTTCCCATAGGTCACCATAAAAAATTTTGATCTGGAAATGTGGTATAACATTTTCGAAACAGCATTCCACTTGCAACCTTTCATTGTTGCTTAAATTCAATTGTTAATTAAATTAATTTATTTTTAAATAATAATTTTTATAAAAGCAGCGAAAGCAACTATTGTATATTTTGCAACAAATTTAAAAATATTTCAGTATCCGAAAATGTTGCTGGCATGGTTGATACAACCGGTCATAAGGGTTTTAAAAAAGGAATAATTTTAAAAACATACTAATTAAGTGAAATAAATAATTATTAAAAAAATTATGCT